GCAGGAGCTGCTCGGGAGTGACACTGCCGTGTACAGGCAGGAGCTGCTCGGGAGTGACACTGCCGTGTACAGGCAGGAGCTGGGCGGGAGTGACACTGCCGTGTACAGGCAGGAGCTGGGCGGGAGTGACACTGCCGTGTACAGGCAGGAGCTGGGCGGGAGTGACACTGCCATGTACAGGCAGGAGCTGCTCGGGAGTGACACTGCCGTGTACAGGCAGGAGCTGCTCGGGAGTGACACTGCTGTGTACAGCAGGAGCTGGGCGGGAGTGACACTGCTGTGTACAGGCAGGAGTGACACTGCTGTGTACAGGCAGGAGTGACACTGCTGTGTATGGGCGGGAGCTGTGCGGGAGTGACACTGCTGTGTACAGGCAGGAGCTGCTCGGGAGTGACACTGCCGTGTACAGGCAGGAGCTGCTCGGGAGTGACACTGCTGTGTACGGGCAGGAGCTGCTCGGGAGTGACACTGCCGTGTACAGGCTGGAGCTGCTCGGGAGTGACACTGCTGTGTACAGGCAGGAGCTGGGCGGGAGTGACACTGCTGTGTACAGGCAGGAGTGACACTGCTGTGTACGGGCAGGAGCTGGGCGGGAGTGACACGGCTGTGTACAGGCAGGAGCTGGGCGGGAGTGACACTGCTGTGTACAGGCAGGAGTGACACTGCTGTGTACGGGCAGGAGCTGGGCGGGAGCAGAAGCCCTGGTCTCCTTGCCTCTCCTCTCTCAGCTTCTCTGCTCCCTGTGAGCAAACTGGGACAAGAATGAGCACAGTCTCATTAGTCGGGGTATAGCTCCTGCCCTGTGAGTGGGACCTGGGTGGAAGAAGAGAGCTCTTTACCACCTGGCTTACTGGACAGGATTTTAACCTCTGCAGCTCACAGCTGGAGGGGATGAGAGATGCCGATGTCCTCCTGGGTGAGATGCCATCTTTTGCCTGGGAGTGCCATGTTCTGGCCACGCCCACCACGCTCTCCCACTGTGAGCTGGGGCATAAGTGTCACTGACTCTCAGTTAATTTTAATAGATTTTCTTGCGTACATGTTTCTTCATTTGTGTGTACCCTTATGGCAATTTCTAGAGACTTTAAATGATTGTTTTATTTTTAAATCTTCATCCAAGCATATGTTTATTAATTTTTAGAGAGAGAGGAAGCAGGGGAGAGAGAGAAACATTGATCGGTTGGTTACCTCCCCTCCAGGCCCCTGACTGGAGATGAAACTTGCAATCTCCAAGGTATGTGCTCTGATCGGGACTTGAACCCGCAACCTTTTGGTGCATAGGACAATGCTCCAAGCGACTGAGCCACCCCTCCAGGGCTCAGTGGTTGTTTTGTTTTGTTTTAAGTTTTTTTTTTCCTATATTGATTTTAGAGAGAGAGGAAGTAAGAAGGAGAGAGAGACAGAAACATCGATGAGAGAGAACATCGATTGGCCGCCTCCTACATGCCCCCCACTGGGGATTTGGCCCACAACCTGGGCATGTGCCCTGACCGGGAATCTAACCAGCGACCTCTCGGTGCATGGGTCGACGCTCAACCACTGTGCCATACCAGCCAGACAGTCATAGGTGTTTTTAAAAATAATTTTTCAGCAGTTATGTTTGTTTTGCTGGGAAACAGGTCTGTAGAGCACCTTGCACTACCATTCTGGAAAAATTCTTTGTGACCTTGATATATAAATGGTTAGTACACAAGTTGTTTTTTCTTTTTCTACCCATCATCTAGGTTGTAGGATAATGTATCCCAAACACCAAAATAACACTGTTAAATCAATATTAAATGTTTTCCCCACATAATCTCCCTTGTCATCTAGAAGGTATAGATCTCTTGACTTTTTAGATGGCTTACATAAAATCTCACTCCGAGGAGACTCTGAAGTCTACTCTACTTGTACACCCCTCATTACATCAAAAATGTGTGTGCAATTAAGTATTAACTGAGGACTGTATCAGTGTCTTCAGCTGCAGAGTAATGCTAATTCTTCTCAGCTCTCTGATCAGAAAATCTGGTGCTCTGTACTAATTTGTGAGCCTGCACAGTCTTCAAGGGTTACTACTATTTCCATGTGGGATGTTTTCCCGTCATTGCTGAGTGTTACTGAATTATTTCACTCTGCACATAACCACAACAAATGGGCTCGTGTTTCCATTCATCTGCCACCTCATAGGTGAAGCCACATTTCAGTCATTTTGGTGCCTGACTGTGGCATACTGTTGTTAAAACTTAAAAAGCCTTTTCAGCAATTGTCGAAGCATTAGAACAAAGAAGAGGTTTGTTTACAAAAACGTTCTTTTTGCTGACTTACCAAGCTGCGTGAGTTTTGAATGCTGACCTTGAACTAGACCACTTTAGCTGCCTTTTCATCCCCACAAGAGCAAGAATCGCAAGCACACTGAGATGAGCTCTTAGGCTGCAGAGCTGTGTAAGGTCTGATCCATTCAGCATCAGAGGTCTTACGCGTTTTCCTGCCTCTGCCTTTTGGCTATTAGCTCCTTGTTATTCAGAGAGCATGCTTGGGTTTGGTGATTCATTTTCCTGGGCAAGCTTCCTAAGTGGTGAGCTTCCTCCAGTTTTATTTCTATCTGAGATGCTTGCCTAATGGCTGAACCCCATTAGGAAAACGCATTTCATAACCATCAGGCTATGTTACGTAATCTTTTAGTATTTTAGACAGAAAGGCATTGTTCAAGGAAAACAGTTCAAGTCCATTTTGAACAGGACTAAGGTGCTTCCAGCAATTTTATGTTCCTCCTAAAACTAGGAAAGTGTTGGCAGTGACCGTGTGTGTTTAATAGGCTGCATTCCTGCTCGCTCTGAGCTATTCTGTTAGTCCAGGTGCCGAGACAGAGGTAGCGTGGCCCAGAACATCTTACTGACCATAGCGGCAATGGTGTAGTTACATTAGAAGATGTTGCATTTTCTTTAAAAAGGTGTACAAAAGTTTTTCTCATTTAAAAACTGTAGAAAATGTTATCAAAGGTAAAGTAAAATGAACTCTCACTCCAGGAGTTAAGCCCTAGTGGTGAACCAATTTGAAGTTTAGTTATTTTTCCAGAACATTCTCTTTCAAATTATTGTTCAGTTATACAGGTAGACTGGAGGAGTGCTAATGTAAAACCCACACTGGACAGGCGGACAGGTGGGGGCGCATGTATCATTACTTGTGATCACGGACCTTGGTCAACACCTCGTTTCCTCTGGGTGTCTGTCACCTGTAAACAAAGGGGACTCAGAAAATGGTGCTCTCAGTAAAGACTGCACAGAGCTGACCGAAAGCTGTTGAGTGTCAAGACTTCTCAGCTAGTCCCACTCCAGCTCACATTTGTTTCCATCAGAACATATACAAATATGGGTGACAGGGTTCTTAAGGCAGGCGGCACCTCCCACTCCCCCAAATCTGCCTTTTCACTCATTCGTGATACACTGGAATTATATGTCAGATTGTACTTGAACAGAACTTCATGGCAAACTAAGTGTTTTAAAAGTACAGATCCAGGTATTTACCCAGATCTTCAGGTAAAAGGAATTCTTTTTTACCTGTAAATTTGTTTGCACTGGACGAGGAGCATGAGGTGAACGCAGATCTTGATGGAGGGAATGCAGAAAAAGAGGTAATTTGCCCTGGCTGGTTTGGCTCAGAGGTTGGAGCATTGGCCCATGGACCGGAGAGTCCCAGGTTCCATTCCCGCTAAGGGCATGTACCTTCGTTGCAGTTTGTCCCTGGCCCCAGTTGGGGTCATGTGGGTGGCAGCCAGTCGATGTGTCTCTCTCACATCGATGTTTCTCTCTCCTCTTCCCCCCTTTCTCCCTCCCGCTCTATCTGAGGATAAGTGCAAAAATGTCCTCAGGTGAGGATTAAAAAAAAAAAGTAATTCTAAAACTTTGCAGGAGTCATATTAGAGCCATATACGTGAAGGTTAGCATTACACTCATTATAAGACAAGAACCTTTTGTGTGTTTTTTAAAATTGAGATACATTTGACATACAACATTGTGTAAATTTAAGATGTACAGTATGTTGATGATACATTGATACTGTTACGGTTGCCATTGTAGCATTAGCTTACACCTCTGTCTTGTCACATAATTATCATTTCTTCTAGCGCTGGGAACAATTAAGATCTTGTCTCTTAGCAAGTCTAGTGTTTATATTACAGTTCTGTTGTCTATAATCCTGGGACTTAAGTAGTAGCTGCAAGGCTGTACCCTTCAGCCATGTCTCCCGCCACCCACGCCCAGCCCCTGGAAGCCACGGCTGTACTCTGCCTTGACATCTGGACTCCACAGGAGCCAGATCAGTGTGTCTCTGCCGGCCTCACTCAGCTGAGGCCCTCGAGGAGCGTCCGAGCAGTCACGGGTCAGGACTCGCCCTCTCGGGGCGGAGTAGCACTGTCTGCAGCACGTCTGCAGGCGGTCGTCTGTCTCGGCCACTGAGGTCTGTATCCTGCTGTGGTGCATAACGTTTCAACAAGGGCCTTTGAGAGTGTAAACGTTTCTGCCAGAGAAGACATTTTGAAACTTGCAACTATTGCTGTTCTGTCTTGTTTGCTGGGTGGTAGTGTCCGGCTGTCGGCTGTTTGGATGCTGACCGTGGTGGGACCTCCTGCTCTGGAGTGAGCAGCAAGGACACTGCTCCAAAGCCCCTGCTGCCTTCCTCCTTCCCCCGCGCTGGGGGGAGGGGGGGAGTTCAGTTGTGGCTACGCTAGAAATATGTCTCCTTTGTTCTTGTTAATCCTCACCTGAGGATATTTTTTTAGAGAGAGTGGAAGGGAGGGAGAGGGGAGAGAGAGACAGATTGATTGGTTGCCTCCCACACACACCCCAACCCGGAGACCAGGGCCAGGGATGGAACCTGCAACCCAGGTACATGCCCTTGACCAAGAATCGGACCTGCCACCCTTCGGTGTGTGGCCAGCACTCTAACCGCTGAGCGACACGGCCAGGGCAGAACTATGTCTCCTTGAAGTTGACTGTCTCTGTGTACTCTTGTGCTTTCTCTGGGGATGTTCCACACACGGCCCCGATGCAGATAACTGGAGGAGCGGGGTTCGTGGGCTCCCACCTCACTGACAAGCTCATGATGGATGGCCACGAGGTGACTGTGGTGGACAACTTCTTCACCGGCAGGAAGAGAAACGTGGAGCACTGGATCGGCCATGAGAACTTCGAGCTGATCAACCATGATGTGGTGGAGCCCCTCTACATCGAAGGTGAGTGACTGCGGCGCTGGCCTCAGGGCCCGAGGGCAGCCCTCGGACCCGGCCACATCAGTCGTGTTGCCGTTTGTTCTTGAAATGTCTTTCCATGTGCAAGGCCTGATGGTAGTTCCTAGAGTTTAGAGCTAGCTGAGAACTTTGCCACTTAAAGGAATTATGGTTGGGAGCTACAGTGGGTTGGGTGGTGACTCCCGTATGTACCCTGACTTGGAATCAAACCTGCAACCTTTGCGGTGTACAGGATAACACTCCAACCAACTGAGGCACCCAGCCAGGGCAATATGTCCCCATCCTAACCCCCAGAACCTGTGAATGTGACCTTATGTGCAAAAAAAGGTCTTTGCAGATGTAATTAAGTTAAGGGTCTCGAGATGAGGTCACCTGGATTACCTGAGTAGGCCCTAATTCCAACGGCAAGTGTCCTTAAGACAGAATGGAGACGACTTGGACACACGGGGAGAAGGAGAGGCCATGCGTAGCCGGTGGGAGATTGGCGTACACAGCCCATGTAAGGAACGCCCGAGGATGTGAGGAGGGTCATTCTGCTTAGCCTTGGAGAACACGGGCCTGGCCAACACCTTGTTTTCAGACTTTTGGTTTCTAGAACTGGGATAATAAATGTCTGTTGTTTCAGTTCACCTAGTTTGTGGTACTTTAGGAAACAATACAGGGGCCCTGTGTAGATTTTTGAGCTATCTAGGGCATACTGATGAGAACCATCACTACTTGACCAGGAGGGCTCTTAGGATTATATAGACTTTTATTCATTTAAATCTGACCGTATCCTTGCGAAGTAAGTGGTATCATCCCACTTATATTTACAGGAGTGGGAAAAAGTAGGCTAATAAAAATAAGGGTAAGTAATACAATAACTTATAAGTAATAATAGAATAAACTCTCTTGTGCATACCCACAACTGTGAACCTACTTTTGCCCGCCCGTGTGGGGAAACAAATCCCTTTGTGGTCTGTGGAAGTGACAGGGCTGTCAAGTAGCTCGCTCTGGGGTGTCGACCCCAAAGCTTGTGAACCCTGCCTCTTCTGTATGGCTAGTGTAGCCTCTGTTTTTCCCGTATTGTGAAATCCCGAACATATCTCCCGTGTCAGTAAGATGTATCTTGAGCCATGGTGATTGCTCAGCAACGTTATTACGCGTATACACCATGATTTATTTGTAATCATATACTTACTTAAACTTCTCCAGTGATTTATTGTAAATATAACAATAAAACACTGAATTTTGTTTTGTCAATAAAGAGTCCAAATAAAATTGTGCCGAATACTAATGTCTCCTTTATCATTTAGTGGCGTCTGTTTCCCTGATACATTAGTAGCATTGAGCATTCTCTTAAAAAATACTAACAAAAATATTTTGCTAATTTGGTAGGAAATCCATGGCTTGATGTACATTTCTTTGGTTACTAAAAAGGTTAGACTTTGCTACATGTTAATTCACAAAAGAAATGTAAATAATCTTTTACCTTTTTAAAAATTTGCTTTTAATATGGGTTCGTCATACTAGAGATGTTAATCATTTGACATGTACTTAGCATTTCTCCCCCAACCTGACTTTTGCCTTTTAATTTCATTGAAATTTTGTAGTTATAATATAGTCTCATCTGTTTGTTTCCTCTTTGCCATTTTTTCTGTTGCTTTTATCCTATAACCATCCCAAGATTAGTAAGTGTTCAGCATGGTGTTTTCTGTTTGTTTTGGCTTCATTTCTAAATATTTAATTATGTTATCTGCAATTTATTGTGGTTAGGCTATAGTTTTGTAAAAGAAACGAATGATGTAGATACTAGACACGTTGTCTCACTTTCCACTCGGACTCCACGGGGCTGCTTCGATGTGGTGAACTGAGGGGATGCGTGTGCCAGTGCTCTTGTAGGCGCAGTTCTCAAGGTGTCCCGCAGGGGGCCCCCCAGTGCTCAGCACTCAGCCAAAGACAGACCGAGGTGCTGCTGCGTGAGGATTTGGCAGAAGAATTAAGGTTATGAGTCAGCTGGCTTTAAAGTATGGCGACTACCCCGGATTATCTGGGTGGGCCCACACCCTCACATGAGCCCTTAAAAGCAGCAGAAGGAAGGCCAGTCAGAGAGATTCGGTGGAAGAGGTGCCCTGAAGAGACAGCGATAGGGAAGTCAGAGAGAGTCCAAGTGTGCGGACTGAGCCACCCCTCTGGCTTTGGAGGGGGCCGGGGCCCGAGCTGCAGCACCGGCCAGCGGGGACACGAGACCTCGTGCGGCAGCCTCGCGGAACTGGATCTTGTTGGCACCCCATCATCCTCTGACGACAGGGACGCAGGCCTGCTGACACCCGGATTTCCGTCCGTGAGTGGTGGGGCCGAGACCCAGCTGAGCCACACCATATCAGGGCCTGACCTCCAGACCCGAGGTTGTAAAAGGATATTTTTTAAGCCTCTAAATTTAAGTCTCTAAATTATGAGGGCAGCCACCACAGGGGCTTAGCGCAGGGGCTGCAGCCCATAGCAAGTGCTCCCCTAATTGCTCTCTTTTTTGCCCATGGCAGTATTTGTTGAATGAACTATTGATTACATCATTTCAGTGCTACTGAGAAACCAACACTTGGCAGAAATGGTATGTTGGCAAGTAAAGTATCTGCTTTGACATCAGAGCTACTCCAGTCATTTCTGCTGCTGGCAATAGGCTTTTTGTAGGGGCCGGACACACACACCCTCAGTCACACACACACACGCACTCACTCACTTTCTCACTGTCTGAATAGAGTCACACAATAAATGATTAACACGTTTTCTTTTGCTCACAGTAGTCAGTCCCCTCAAGTAGTGCTATAAGACATTTCTCAACCTTGACACTTTAAAATATATATATATTTTTTATTGATTTTTTTTCCTTTATAATCCTCACCCAAGGACATTTTTGCATTCTTCTTCAGATAGAGCAGGAGGGAGAGAGGGAGGAAGAGAGAGAGAGAGAGAAAAACATCGATCTGCGAGAGAGAGACATCAAGTGGCTGCCACCCACATGACCCCAACCGGGGCCGGGGACAAACTGCAACCGTGGTATGTGCTCTTAGTGGGAACCGAACCTGGGTGTCTCTGGTCTGCAGGCCGATACTCTAACTGCTGAGCCAAACTGGCCAGGGCTTGAATTTTTTTTTTTTTTAAGGAAGAGGGAGAGAGAAACATCCGTCGGCTGCCTTCTGCACACCCCCTACTGGGGATTGAGCCCGCAACCTGAGCATCTGCCCTGACAGGGAATCGAACCAGCAACTTTTTGGTACACGAGATGATGCCCAGCCAACTGAGCCACACCAGCCAGGGCTCAAACTTGATACTTTAAAGCTTGTTTTTAATTTTCTCTGCCTTAGCATTGGATTCTTCCATGCTTTTGATAATCCCCCATCCTATTCTCTTCCCCCCTCTCTTCACTCTTTCTGCCTCCATGGTACCACTTGACTCTGAACTCCTTCTGTGAAAAGTGTGTCATTTAACCCACCCCCTATGGGTATAGTTGTGCTTTGCAAAGGTCTAATCCCTGCCTTCACCTTAGTCAGGTGCAGGATGTAACCAGATGAACCGTTCATGTGCCCTCTCTCTTCTCGGTGTTGCCTTGTCACACAAAGGATAACATAATGTAGGCCCCTTGACTGACACGTTGTTGCCTTGTGTGTGTAGTGCCTGTCATACTTCAGTGGCTCATGGACTACCACTGGTGCAGCATGAGTCCGTTCTCGCAGCAGTGAACAAGGGGCCGTGAACTATGTGAACTATAGTTCACTATAGCAGTGAACTATGTAGCATTGACGTGATACGTTTCCTTGCGTGGTAACAGTGTATAAGAGAGTTCATGGCCCAGAGCTGAATATATAACTCTATTTTTGGTTCTTTTCTCCTAATGAAAGAAACTTTAATTGATCTAATATTTACACTTTAGCAGGAATGTGCATCAGCTTAGATAAGTATTTTGTGGGACTTAACTCTTGTTGGTTTATTTTGCTGGGGCTGTCGGGTTGTCTGGGTTTCATTGAAGTAACGATGGTGTCACTTCATTTGGCAGCATCATAGCAGAACTTCATTCATTTCCTCAGCACAGGTCCTCCTCACTGTTCTCAGGGTCTAGCCATTATGTGTCAGAAGCAGAGACATTCCGCAGTTTTATTCTAATGAACTGTTATCTGGGCTGGGAAGATGGTGGTGTTGTGGGAAGAGGAGAATGCGATGGCAGTGGCCGAGGCTCAGGGTTGAGAGGGGTGCTCTAGAATTCAGGCCGGGCCTGGTGATGAACCCAGAATTATGAAATGACAGAGGTGAGGAGCTGTGGTCACAGGGGTTAGGCTGGAGGCCTCATCCTGTGTGGATGAGACGGTTCAGAAAGCATGATTCCTTTAGAAGGAATTGTTAGTACTCGTTGAAATAACTTAACCTGATTATGTATTGCTTTGAAATGGATTTTAAAACTGGATTTCGCCAACCAAGGCTTATCAGTTTCAGATGTTGAATCTGCCCTGTGAAATATTTAGCTCTGGAAAGAGTAGAGTTAGGGGGTGTTCTGGGAAGCCAGGGTCAGAGGTAGCAGGTGTGTTTGGGTTGTGTGAGATGCAGGCCATGACGAGGCCGAATTGGGCTGCAGTGCTGAGTTAGCTTCTTACTCCAGCCTGGGGCATGGGGGGCCAGCCTGACCCCCGAGTGTTCTGTGGAGAAGCACAGGACACCGGGCATGACCGTGGAGGGCTTTCAGGATGATCAGACCCTGCCGAAGGGGGCAGAAGTACCCATTCAGCAGGAAGTCCACACGGTAGACCCAGTGCAAGAGGAAGACCTTACCCATGGGCGTGTGGACTTGCGCTCTCGGCCTGCCATGCCAGGCCCTCGGAAAGCATCGCTCCCACCCTTACCGCAAGAGAGAAGCTGGGCAAACAAATTCGACCACTTTTCTTTGCTTCATCAGAGAATTGAGGTCATGGGGCAGATTGCCACCTGAGAGCTGGAGGCACAGGTGAACACAGTCA